AAACCATCATTTGTGGAGAGCCTAAATAGCTGAAGCATGCTTCAGCTGCCTCCAGTTCTAGAAAACAGCAATGACAGATATGTGTGCTTTGACATCCTTGAGAAAGCAGCTGAGCTTCTACCTGAAACAGAAACTTTAGACCAAAGTCTTTAGTACCATCTCCTGATCTCATGGCTTACATGCAGATACAGATCCTCCTTTTGTCCTTCTAAACAGGGATTTTTTTCCAAGTACAGTGTTGTATCACTATCAGGGGTTGCTCAGGGCTTACAAATGCATGATGACATCTTGGATTTTACCAGTCACATCCTAATGCTTTAGGATAAGCCCAGAACTTGATTTAAGGTGATTAACATGCCAAGAGGTTTATTTAAAATGCCTTTTTGTCTTTCCCTAGAGGTGACTTAAATTGCCTCCACCTGCAGTAAAATTAAACACTTATTTATTGGTTAAACCCCCTGGCATTAAAAAAGTCTGTTCTATTAAGTGGCATTCTACTGCCAAAATCTGCAAAACAACAGCCACAACCCTTAAAAAGTAATTTAACCTGCACAGCTGTTAGAGCCGAGATTGAAAGAACACAGTTTGAAAAGAGCATCAAATTTGATAATTACTGCAGTGGAAGTCTGTGCTGGCCATTGTTTTGGTACCCAAATCTTGAGCAAGAGCCCTGGCAGTGAACAGACAGTGCATCTTGAACATGTCTTACCCATGTATGGTGATATTTTCCAGCTGTAGAGAAGTATTTGAGAAAAGTTATGCAGTGTGGCCTTATCATTCATTTTGCTGCCTGTTGCCAGCAAGCTTGACTGAACAGAACAAACACTGCAGTTACTGAGCAGACCCTTGAATACACTAATTTTTGAATGCTTTACACAATAAAGATGTCATCTTTGGGATGCTTAGGAAGCTTTTTTGCATAGGCTGCTCAAGAAGAGGAGAAGGCACTTTTTTTTTTGTGTAAGTCTGCCACACATACAAAAACAGCAGAAGAAAATCAGTCTGCACGACAAAAAAGGATGCAGAGCAGGGTGGATTAAGGGCAGTGCAATGTCAAATAGGAAGGAGGGATGGTTGAGTCTTCAGCTGGGAAAAGTATAACAAGAGACATGATCTGTCTGTGCTTATGTGAGACCTGTGCAACTTCTATATATTGAAGGAAACAGAAGTTGCTTGAAAAGCCAGGAAAATCCTTTCTTACTTCTCCAGCCTGCATATGGGAAAGGTGGACTGCATCCTGCTTAGCTAGTCCTGTAAACCTACTGTGATTTTACTGACTTCTAGGGGCATACAGTAAATTCTCCTATTTGTTACAACTGCACATCTAATTAAACAGCTTACAAAGTGAGGTATGGAGGAACAGGAGACTGCTAAGGGGACCCACTGCACTGGTGTGCGTTGCTTTCTGTCCAGCAGGATTTCCCAGTTGAGGAGGAAAAACCCCAGTGAGAGATGTCTGCTCAAACACAACCCTTCAACTCTGAGCAGCACAGGTTTGGCTAACAGAACCTCCACTTTATACTTTTAATGCTTGGCTCTATTAGGGTATATAATGAAATGCAACATACCATTGTGTCATTTGATTTATCCCTTTTTGCTCCCACGTAGCACTGTTATATGATGGTCAATCTTCTCTAGCTTATACTCTCCTCCCATCCACCACATCTATTTTTCTTCCTTTTCCTCTTCTGCTCTTCACAAATTTGTTTATTTTTATGTTATTTAGTTTTTATTTAGCTGCTCTCTGCATTAGCCTCAGCAGTAGGCAGCTTGGAAATTGTCCTGCCAAGAAAGGCACTACACACTCTGGCAGCAGAAAACAAGCATCAGAGAACTTCAAGCAGCAGGCCCAGGTACCCATTCTAAATTAATCATGGCTCTAGGAAAATTATTATGACAGTGCAAAACAAAGAAGCCACTCATCAATGCAGGAAAACCACAGCAGAAAAGCCTGGATACAGAGAATCTGACACTGCTGGACTGAGTATGTGTCAGTGCAGATCTGTGTGAAATGTTCTGTCTGGGCTGAAACAGTGATGGGGAACACCAACAGACTCAGCTCCCTGGCAGTGGTCTTGGGCATCCTCTCTCTGCCCACAGGCAAAGAGGAGGTTGTGCTTGCCCACCTAATCCAGTCAGGGCTCAGCATGGGTTTTGTCAACCTTGAAGCTTCAGGAGTTGAAACAAAAGATTTAGCGTGAGAATTCCATGTCCAGGGTGGCTAAGTAGAAGCCAGCCGACGAGGTTCCTCTGCAAAACCAATGTTTAGTTTCATACCTACATTCTTATCCTTCCTGCTATTATAAAATGTTCTTCCATTTCTTGGATGTCAGCAGCTGTGATACAGCAGTGACTCATGTTTCCATGGCTTTAGTTGCATTACACTGTCAGCAAAATCCACCTCTAACTGCTGCACAATTGCACAAGGTAAGTTTTACAGACCCCAACAGCATCTGAACAAGGCCCAAACAGCATCAATATGGTCATTTTAGCAGGCTTGCTGTCAGGGAACTGGCAGTACAACTTCTGGACTCAAAGTGCATGAGGCAGTGGGCATGAAATGCTGCATAGTTGCTAACATATTTATGCAGCACTTCCAGCTACCTGGGCTCAGCCAGCCAGCACTGCTGCTGAAACCCCTTAAATCCATGGCTGTGGAAAAAGCCCCTAGACCAGTGCTCATGGAGGCACCACTGCACAATGTGTTCATTTGGCATGGACTGGTTTTCCGGTAGCAGGGGAGAGCCACAGAAGTGGTTGCTGTGAGAAGCTGCTAGCAGCATTCACCATGTCCAACAGAGCCAATCTCTGATGGCTCTGAAGCTGGAAATGCTGCTGGCCCAGTTAGAGAGGTTTCAATGTCTCTGTGATGACCTATTTAAGAAGAAAATCAAAACAGCACACAGATGGTTTTTGTTCCAGAGGCGGCAAGGCATCACCACCAGGTGCAGTGTGCAATGATGTGCTGCAGCCACTGCCATCTCAGCATGGCCTGCAGTGAGCCCTGCCCGCCTGGCCACCCCCAGCCAGCTACGGCACAGGCACAAGGGCAGGGGTGGCAGAGGGGCAGGGGTGGCAGGAGGGAGGCAGGGGTGGCAGTGGCCTCTCCTTCCCAGCCCTGCCTGACCAGAGGCACTGAACAGCCCCAGCACTGGCACTGCCCGCTCAGCGCTGTGGGGCCGACACCAGAAACACAGTGAGCGATTCTCCAGCATGGAACCCAGACATCACCATGGACCATCAACTTCTCAGTGCTGTGGGATCCTGCAAGAATGCTTGAATTGGTGGAATTTGTTGGCAATAGTACAGGCAAAAGTTTTTCTTCTAGTCAGGGAAGAGGAGGAAGTGAGGACATGTGAGGGAGATAACATGGTGGCACCAAGGTCAGTGGAAAAAGGGAGAGGAGGTGCTCCAAGCACCAGAGTCCAGATTGCTCTGCAGGCCGTGGTGAGGACTGTGGTGAAGCAGCTGCACCCCTGCAGCCCATGAAGTTCATGGGGGATGCAGAGATCCACTCCCAGCCTGTGGGAGAAGTGCTCACACTGGAACAGGTGGATGCCAGAGAAAGCTGTGATCTAGTGGGAGACCTGAATGGAGAGAGCAGCTTCCCACCTAGAGCAGCCTGTTCTTAGAGGACTGCACCCCATGGACAAGTGACCCACATCACAGCAGTTCTAGGATGACTGTTTGCCTGTGGGATGGACCCATGCTGCAGCAGTTTTGGCCAGACTGCTGCTCATGAGATTAGAGCCACACTAGAAAAATTCACAGAGAATTGTCTCCTGTGTGAGGGACCCCACAGCAGAGCAGAGGAAATGCTCCTCACCCTGAGCAAGCAGAAGATGATGTCCAGTGACAAACTGACCAAAACCCCCATGCCCTGTCTCCCTCTACTGTCAATGGGAAGGAGGCAGAGGCTGGGGAAAAAAAAAAAAAAAAAAAAAAAAAGATGTTTTAAAGGCTTATTTTACTTCTCATTATCCTCCTCTGATTCTGTTAATCATAAATTTACTTTATACCTTGAAATTTCAACCTGTTTTGCCCTTGGAGTGTTTTCTCCCAGTCCTCATCTCAACTTATGAGCCCTTCATTAATTTTTTCCCTCTCCTCTGCCCAGCTGAGAGCAAGAGAGGGTGAGTGAATGGCTTTTGTGGATGCCTGGCATTTGGCCAGGGTCAAACCACGACACGTGGCCTCTGTTTCCATCCAGTGGAGAGCACAGCTGCAGTGCTGGCTGCTGGCTCCACTGCCTCCTCAGCCTGCAGACTGAGTGCTCCAGTGAAACCTGCAGGAAATACCTGTAACTGACAGCTTCTCCTTCAAGGATCCTGACTGCAGAAGCACTCAAATACCTGACATTCACACTATTGCAATGAGTCACACTCAATTACTCAAGAATCAGTACTTTAATTGCCTGACCTTCCCAATTAACACTTGCAAGCTGAAAATAATGAGAAGCAGAAATAGTTTTACTCTGTGGCAGGGATTTTTCTCTGCTTTAATTTTTGAAGGCTTTCTATTAGGAATGTCAATCTGAGGTCAAAATTGCACATTTGAATCATGTGGTTAAATTTATGGTTAAAACTGGTAGAAATGTAACCAATGCACTTCATACTCCAGAGGTTATTTGAAGAAAGCACTAAAGAACAAGACTGAGGAAAACACTGGAACAGTCAAGCACTCTGGCCATTAGAATGTAGTGCCCATTATGGTATCTTAGTACCTATTATGGCACTAAGAGAAAAAATGAAGTGTTCTCTGTGATGCTCATCGAGACTGCTTGGTTAGGTTTGTTTCCTCAAATCCAAGACTCTTCTCATCATCATATTTGAACAGCTTGCATAAATAAGGTACAGTACAGGAATTGTATGTGCCTCTAATTAAGATCTGAACACTCAAACCAACATTTGGAAATGCAACACTTGTCCAAAACAAAAGTCACCAGGATGTAAATCAACAGAGACTGTGCTTCTCAGGAATAAAACTTCCCACAGGGCCCATTTCCCTGACGCCCAAACTCCCGGAAATCTTTTATTGGCAAACTCCACAAAATAGTTTAATGACTCAGGAGACTTATCTGAAACCTCAGGACTTCATTTCTCAGACCATTAACACTGAATTTCTATTCCTTCAGGAGCAGCCAGGCTTTGATGTTGACAGGAAAAGGAGTCTCAGAAGGAAAATCCACTCCACACACAGGTTCATGACTACAGCAGCACTGTACAGCTCTACTGAAAGAAAGAGCATAGCCATGAGAACACAGACTTTACAACCTTGAGATTAAGATGAGCTCAAATGTATATTTGACAAAAATACAGAAATATCCACTGTCATATTCTAATAATACAGAAGTTACTTTGCTTTGGATAAAATGTATTTGATAATTTAAGGTTAAAACAACTTTCCATATGTATTAGCACTCAGCAAAGTAAAAAGTATCAAGTCTTTACACTCAGACAGAACAGACAAACTAACATATTTGACTGCAACTTCTTTCAGGTCAAGAGGTCTCTTGGACAGTAGTGCCCTGACTCTGACACTCCACCTTTCTCTACCTGAGCCTCCTTCTTTACATTCTGGGCTTCTGCCCAAATCCAGAGCAGTTGGCCAAGACCTCAGCCTCTGAAAGCCTCACACAGAAACTATGCAAAACATTTTCAGTTTTAACGAGTTGTACCAACCACCCCTAAAAAAATAAAGCAAACAGAACTCTCCTGCCCTGATCATCTGAAGAATCCTTAAGGGTCCAGGCTAAAATGTCAGCTTCCTAACAAGGCCTTTGATGTAGCCCTGAGGTAGTTTCTGTCCCAGGACATTCAGAGCTCAATCTTGTGCAGGCCACAGTTCCACTCATGGACTGGGCAGTACAAAACTGCCCCCTGCTGCCCCGCTCTTTGGGTTTTGCTTTGTACTTACATGCATGTTAACAATTCAAAGCTAATTAAGGAAACCAACGGGACAGCCACTAATGCAACCATGCCAAACAAGACAAGTGCCATGGGTAAGGAGGGTAAGACCACTCCTCTGTCTCATCCTTCCCTCCCTTCTTGTTTCTATCAGTTTTCAAAGCCTTTCTTCATCCATGCCAGGGTTTTTTGGTAAAATCAGCTGAACCACATTAGCAGCCCAGGGAGGCAGGAGTTAAGACACATAGAGCCTAAGGCCACATATTAAGAAAAGTATGCCTCCTCCCTTCTCAGTGGGAAAAGCTTGCCAGAACCAGCCAGTGCAATGGTGAAGCAGAAGTGATGACAGGTGGGGGTTTTAGTTTTTATTTTAGCTTCTGGAATTAATCAGCAGAGCCACCCCACAGAAGCAGCCTGTGGTCTGGGGAAGTTGGCTTCACTGAAAGAATGCAAGTGAAACTAAGGCTTTCTCTAACAGCAACAGCAACCCTGCCACCCCCACTGCCCATCACTCCTGGAGCACTTTGTGTCATTTCATTCATCTATTAAGAAATCTCTAGAGACTATTTCCCTAATCCTACTCTAAATACAGGTCTGCAGTTGGGATAGTGTTTTCTTGATACCAAATAGAGGTAGTATCAAGTTTCAATGCTGCTGTAAATCAAAGGTAAAGTTGCCCTCTAGCCCCATCTTTCAGCCTTTTCTGTTGTCTGTTCATAGCTAGCAATTTCAATTTGTTCTTCTACAGAAGCCATAGAGCACTGTAGTGTAATAGACAAATGTGACACCTGCAGAAAATGCAGCACAATCAGAGATAAAGATGGCACTGTGATTTCTTCCCTGCCACTGCCTTTTACATGGATATCTATCTACCTCTGAACCTCTCCAGGATTTTATTATCTACCTTTTGATACACATGTAGTTGAAAATAATTTAATACCTATTTCCTGATGAAGTACATTCTGTGCCTCATTTTAGTTTCACACTAGTGAGAGGGTACACACATTTTACAGGACAAAAAATTTAAACCATAACTACTTAGTAAATTATGCATTGTAGTGATTGAAAGACAACAAGTACCAGAGAAAATATACATGCTGAAGCCTGATGTATATACTAAATGGGAAGTCTTCAGTGATATGACAAAGAATTTGTGGATTTTTCCCCCCCAGTTACAAGAGAACAGAGGATTTGTCAGACATTGATTCTGGAGCTTCTAGTGTCCACTCTACGCCTCCTTCCTCTTGATGATCAGAGGCCCAACGTTGTCGCCAGTTTCCTCGTTGTGCTTTGTGTGAGAGCCATCACACAGTGGGAACTGAAAAAAGAAAGAATAAACACACCTGAGGTACATCCAGGATCAGAACTGAGAACCTAGGCTGAAAGTTTATGAGGCATCTTCTCATTAAATCCACTGAAACCACAGACCACAACTTTTACGTCAGCATCTCAGGTCTCGCTGAGGTTTGGCTGAATGCTGCTTTATCCTTGTTAGTGCACAGCAGACAGGAGGCTTGCTCTAAAACAGCAGCCACAAACTCCACTCTTTGGTGTTCCTGCCTCAGGTGAGCAGGAGAAAACCACAGCCTGAGCAGACCCTCAGCTGTGACCTACCTGGAGTATCTTACTCTCACCCTTGCCCCTCGCTTCCTCAGTGCTGTCCTTAAGAGACACATCAGTTCAAAGTCATTTGAAGAAATATTTGTTCTATTAAAAAACCCCAAACAAACCCCACCCTAGAACAGGCTGGTCAGAGCAAGAATTACAGGGAGTCCTTTAGCCAGCTCTAACTGCCCAGCTCCCAGAGAAGTGATAAGAAGAAGCTCCTGGGAAGCTCTTAGCACATGGAAGAGCTGAAAGACATCCTGTGAGGCAGCAAGAGTGAGGCTGGATCCCATCACTTCTCAAGGATGCATTTTCAGGGCTACACTCCCTCTGCACAGCAAACTGGAGATGATCACAGAAATCACACACTGGTATTTAGCATTCAGTTACAATTTTGTTTGCTTAGAAGTAATAGGGCTCAAAGTTGGGCATTACTCAGCTTTTGCCTCTGCAACACTTCCATCCTCCTGCAGTACCACCACAGTCAGTACTCAATGTCCCACTAAGCTCAGTGTTCCTGCTTCAGTCACATTGAAAAACATGAATACCCTACCACCCATGCTTCATCAGAACAAAAGATTTCAAAGTACTGCTAAAAACCAACACAATGAAACAATATACAGAGCTTTAAAAATAACACCACCTTGTCTGCAGGATAGTATTGGGAGGGAAGGAGAGAGATGAGGTGTAGGGGTTTCTTCTGGCTTTTCACAGTAATGAAATGTCAAAACCTAGGCTAAAAATTGCATGCAATATTTCTGAATAAAGAAACTTTGAATTCAGAGAATGCTCATGTAAGCTGATTCATGGAGAAACCTTCTCATCCCATCAGTCATTTGTGACTCAATGAAAAAGCAGTGACAGACACTTGACAAAATCTCAGCAAACAGGAATTAATGTTACTGGGACATTGAGCAGCTTTCACCAGATGTTCCTGGGCCAGTTGTTTTCCCGTTTAACGACCTTCACAGATGCAATGACACAGCTTCCATCAGACACTAACATCTCACAAGCTCCAAGGAGGCAGCCCAAAGTCCAGCTACAACATCATCACTTCAAGTTTTCAAGCAACAAAAATGGTGGGATTGCTGGGTTCAGACAGCATGGAGACATCTTTGACAGCTGCCAACAGTGACTGCTCTGCATTCATTCTGCTGCTCTCAGAACACTGAACACAGGCTCCCAGGGGCTGCTACACTGGACTTGAGCTTCTCAGGGACAAACACCAAACCAAACATCCCTCTCCCAGAGCACTCACTTGGTCACCTCAAAGACCAGACCCTGCAGAGAAGGATATTGGGCCTGACACAAAGTGTTCATCCCTGATTAAAAATAAAGCAGCCTAACAGCAATAGTAGTCACAGCTCAAACCCCAGGGGAATTGTACACTGATCTGGACAGCTCAGCTGATTTCCCCTGACACTGAACATGTTTGGATTCTCTATCTCTATTTCTGCTGATAGTCTGCAGCAGTATTCCTCAGCCCACAACCTGGGGGCTAATACTTCTCTGGAAGACAAAGAAGCTGCATGTCATTGTAAAAAGACAGCAAATTAAATTTCCCACTCACACCTAAAAATGAAGACAAGTAAGAAAACAAGTGTTCTAACTTTAATTAAAGTTTAAAAGACAAAACTCTTGTCTCTATATGGGTTAGTTTGAGCACTGGGTTTTTCACTACACCGGACAAGTATGAAGTGCCTGCAGAGCACAACACTGAATAGAAAAGGGTCATTTAAAGAACCAGCCATTTATTATTAACAGATAATTACATGCCAAGACAAACTTATTTCAATATACCATGTTTGGTTTTTTAAAACATACATTACACAAAGACTTTGGCCAGCACTAAAGCCTTTTAAGTACACTTTTACAGAAAAAAAAACCCAAACAAAAAGAAGTGCTCTTTTTTCAAGAGTTACTCTAAAATACTCTGGTGTAGTCCAACTTTGTTACAGAGGAGGAGCACCATGTGAAGTCAGCTGCAAGTGCATCACACCATCAGTGCAATAGAAACATCCTGGGGTTCCTAATGCTACTGCTTCTACCAACAGCCCCGTGCCTCAGGTGAGCCTGAATCTCAGGAGAAGTGCACAGAGTGACACAAAAGGACATTCCTTCTAGCCTTTAGATGCACCTATTTCACAAAAACATGGCAGGTACTTAATGCATCTGAAGTAACTGTAATTTCCTGCATTGAAAGCACACACATTCCACATTCTGACACCATCTAATAAAAAATTTAAACAGTTTGAGAACTGTAAAAGCCAGGTAAGGCTAGCTGACAACTTCCAGCTATGACAAGCATGTAAGAATGATGTACTTTATTACTGTTTCACAATAACAAATAGGAGAAGCACACAAACCCTGTTAAAGGTTGTGCAACCCAGGCTGCAAGGTCAGCCCATGAAGGCAAGAGGAAGGCAACTAAACTGGAAACTACAGGCTTTGAGGTGGAACATGTTGATTAAAATACTTATCATTAAACAGCAATAAAAGGAAACAAATACCTTCCAAATTTCCACTGACCTCCTAAAAGCCTTCACAAGACCTTTCAGATCAGAATTCTAAGAATGCACTAAGAATGCACTTACAGCCTCATCTACTTTGTTTCTTACTCAGTAGGGCAATTATGTTCCTAAACTGACAATATCCCTTAAACATATGCCAAAACAAACTTCTGAAGGTTCTTATTTCACACCAAAAGAAGGGTAACATCAAATAACAGCAAACAATTAGCAGGAGCTGCAGTGCAGCCAGCAGAATCAGACATTATCTTCCATTTCTGTTTAGAAGACTGACTAGGAAGCAGAAAGCGCAAACAGCAGGGTTCAAGTAGGGTTTTTTCAGTTCAGACTCCAGACAGAATAAAGAAGACAAGGCCACCTCCACAAGACTATTTCAGCACCAAATCATAATGCTGTTTATTCCTTAGCACTGTCACACTGTAAAACCCAATTCAGTACAAATGTGTAAGCTCCTGAGTTACCTGCAAGGTGGTGAAGTCAGATATGACAAGAGCAAGAGCCCAAAGTTACAGCACCTGGAAATTGCTGAGTTTGGCCTGATGAGAACAATGTCTAAGACTTGAGAAGCTGAGTATTCACCTCCTTGGAGGAAGGAGAGCTAAATTTCAAGGCAGTTGTCTGGCTCTGAAGGTCTGTATTATTTCAGACTCCACACACTGGCACCTCCTAAAAAAGCTTTGAAATGTGCACCAGTGGTAAATGGACAGGATTAACCATGCAATCTGCTTTCTGTCATTACAGATCCCAGAAGTACCTTTATCTATAAAGTATATACATCTCAGGTGTCACACACCCCTAAGATCAGATTTATTCTGAGGTACTGTTATTGAGAGGAAAGGTTATCACTAGGTTAAGGCAATTGAAGCAACCCAACTTCAAATGCAAGCAAGCTGGACCAATATTTAGGCCAGACTTTTAATTGCTCAAAAACAGAAGCTCAAAACTGCTCAAAAATAGAAGCTTAAAGCATGCCACTGTGATTTCACTGGCACACACCATGTACTACTAGCAAGGACTTTGTGACTTCAGCTTTCTCCAAAAAGAGATGTTTAACATGCTCACAGACTGTGGTTCCTGAGCTCCTACTGCCAACAGGCCAATGGTTTTGGATAATGCTTAGTATCAGCACAGGTAGTACACAAAATGGCATCTGTCACTCATGGTCATGCTCCAGACAGTTGCTCTCTTTTCAGGATATCTTCTTCAGAGCTAGAGGAACATTCTGTCCACTATTAGCACTGATCTGCAGGCTTTACTCTGAGCATCAGAACAAATGTGCATCATTCTATAGGTTAGAATATTGCTACATGTCTGTGCAGAACCACTGAGGTGAAAAGAGCTTAGTTTGCTCTAAATAAAGCAGTTTTAAAATAGTTTTGCTGAAAGATTTAATAATTTATCAACAATGAACACAAACAACACTGGACCCATTCCCTCTTCTCTTACCTGCTTGGACCTCCAACAACGACAGTACACAGCCTTGTCTCCCAGATCTTCCATATCAAAGGCATGGACTACCTTGGGGTTATCCTTCTGGATATTGGGGTTCACCATTGCTTTGGAGGCTTTGTCTTTACAAAGAATTGCTTTGTAAGCTAGATATCCAAGAGCAGCTGCTCCAGCAGCTATGGAGGCTGCAGCAACCCATTCAGCTAGAATAAAAGAAGAAAAAACAAGAGACTGTCAGGTTTTGACCACAACATTCTATTAAAACTACTCAGCAGTAAATGTTTTCATGCTTGCAGCAACACCTCTTTACTTTCCAACAGATCTTTTTATTCTGTAGTAGTAATTCTCTACCTTAAAAGAGTATTTTCCTTTGACAGTCACCTAGTCAAAATGCTCTTTTCTATTGATCAGAGCTCTACTCCACCCCAATCCTTTCTACACAAGGGTGAGAATTAACCTGGCAGAGTTTTCATGGTTTGGTTTTGTTTTTAACTTTTCTACTTAGCAAACCCTGATATTACCATCAGTAGTACATTATTTCAAAGTTCAGCATATTAAACTAGGTGTAGCAGCAAAAAACCTGTGTTTGTTTCAGTTGCAAGAAAGTCACTAAAGAAAAACAGTCAGTGCTAACAACCCAAAACTAGGTTTCAACCCCAAAAAGGCATGGGCACTGAGTAGCTTTTAATAAAATCCATCTTGTAATTAAAAAAAACTAAAAGCAGTTGTTTGGCAATGGGGAAATTATTAAATATACTACCACCTGTAACAAAAGCCATCTTAGATTAAATCCCTAGCACAGTATAGAAGAGAGAACAAGGATTCAAAAAGATTCTATTTAAGAATCACAGCACATGTTTATTTTAACTAGATTAAATCCTGAATCTCTGCAAGACAACTTTCATTTAAAAAATCCTCTTACCACAACTCATCCTCACATTTCCTCCCTTTATTGGGAAAATTTTTGCAGTCTGTCTTTGCACAATGTCCATTCCTGCAAGAGGTTTTCCTACTTTTTTGTGGCTCTACTGTTTTCTCTCTGCTTCATGAAAATAAGCTGGACTTTGCTCAAAGGTTGAGGTTGCAGCACCAGGTCCGTTGTTTCCTCTCACAGTAACAAGTGGCTGCTCTCTCTTTGCTTTCTATCCAGCACTCCTACATGTACTGCAACTTCTGTTTACAGACAAATAAACAGCAATTTCACTTTTAGCACTTCATTTACAGAGCTTCATAAAATTAGAACTGTCTCCTGTGCTTCTGTGTTTTAATTGGATTTGTAAGATGCCAAGTTAGGTGGCATCTGTGGAGCAAGAGACATCACTATGTCCATGCCTAGGAAGAAACAAAAACCTTTATTAGTTCTTGCTACTTTCCAGGATGTGATTTGCTGTATTTCCACTGACAGCTTGGACTAAAAATATCAAGGTTTTCTGTCCCTATCCCACAAATTTTCCTAAAATCTCTATCAAGCCCTTTCCTCAGCTAAAACACTGACAGGCATCAAACTGATCCAGAGGTGTCTGGCTGCAGCAACATGTGGAATTAGACAGGTCTGCGCAGTGTCTGCAGCCCTGTGAGACCTGGGAATGCAGGCACCCTTTTAGAGTCTAACTAAAGGAGTAAAAGATGCAGAGATCCTTCAGAGTCCATTTTCTTAGTAAATGACACAGAAGAGACCAACATACACTGAGACCTCACCTGCTAATGAGTGACAAACCCTTCCTGTAACAGTAAGGTGATATTAAGATACAGAAAATCATCTTTAACATGGAAGAATTTAGGGCAGGCATGTTTCCCTGCTCCCCAGCTCCTTAAAACAATAAAAGCCCCAGAGACTAGGTTGTGAATGCTGTGTTTTATATCCATTTATATTCAGTGAGTTTTCATCCTTTATTCCCCAGAGTAATGCGTTAACTTTGATAAAGAAGTGAGGAAATTAAAATTTAAAAATGATTCTATGAAAATCTGCTTTAATTTAGCACAAGAGCCCAAATTAATCAAAAGGACAACTACAGTTTAAATCAAAGACAGCAGTTCTCCCAAGAATAAGCACTGCAGCACCCTTGTCCTGGGGTGTAGCAGGGAGGAGCTCAGCAAGCTCAGGGACCCGCTGGCTCTGACAACTTGGAGGTGACCCCAATGAAATGCCAAGTGCAACTCCAGCAGCAAAAGCAAATCCAAGTTCCAGTGCACTGCCCATGGTGCAAACCTGCACCTACACTTTCAATAAGTGACAAGGGCACAGGGGGACCATATACCTTGTGAAATCCAAGGGGAAAGAGTGACTTCAATGAAGACCACAGGTGGCTCCTGAAGCACCCTTTAAGGTACTGCACCTTAAGGAAGCTGATCTTTACTTGTGCCTATCCACAAGTCCAAAACAACTTAGCAAATAAGAGGAAAAAAATGGGTAATATTTCTGTGACTCACTACAAGCAAGAGAAGTCTGTACTAAAATTCAGCAGCACATTCAGAAGAGCTTTTCTGCACATCTGCAGCCAGCCCAGATCCCTCTGACACCCCTGGGGCCATCCCCATAACTGTGCACATCAGCTCCAGCTCAGCAGGCAGAGATCACAAACTAAATTGTCATTTCATCTTGCAGTGATCCTCTGCCTCTTCTCCCACGGACCAGAGTCATCCTTCACACACACAGGCAAGTTGCATACATATCAATAGCTTATACAAGCTAATTAATAGCTTGGATACATATCAATAACCTATATGGATACATATCAACAGCTTCAGGTATTTTTTCTTAAAATAGAAGAATGTCTTTTCTACTGTATTACCTTTTTTCAGGTAGTGGCTTCCCTGCAGCCACTTCACTTTTCCCCTTTTGGGATGGAAAATTATATCAACCAATGATGCACTAAATCAAAACAATTTAAGCAGTCTTATTCTTTAAATTCCAGAATTGCCTTGATAAATATCATGAAAATTTAGAAGAAATATTTTAATTTTTCAATAGACTCTCTGGTAAATCAGCCTACAGGGTTTCAGAGGCAAAAAGTTTTGTCTTGTTTCTCACACACATCAGGAAAAGCTGAAACACCCATTTAATCTTTCTAAGTTAACCATAAAATGCATGTGGAAGAAGAACACTTGTATTTTTAAATACTCTAAACTGTTTCAAAAGACCTCTGGTGCCAATTCAACAGTTTGCTGCCAAACTCCTAAGGTCATGCATGAGGCATCTGTTAACAGAGTGACACTGATGTGGAGTGTCAAGTGGTTTTTATTTCTTCTTAAAATAAAAAGCAGTAGGAACAACTTTTGAGGTTTTATTAAAGAACTCCCAATTCTGGTATAATACCAAACCACAGTGTTACAAGACAAGACAAAATAGGTCTGTGTAACATGGCAGAAAAAATTGGTTTTGTGTTTAAGCACTAAACAATGGAAAAATTTCAGCTACAACTCCAGAAAAAATAAAACACAAAGGAGAGAAGAGACAGAGAGAGATAGAAAGAAGGAAACAAATTTAAAGAATGGAGACCCAGGAGAGCAGGCAGTGCACAAAAGTAAACAAAAAAATCAGAGATGAGAATGGCAATAAGACACTGATAGGGATTTATTCTCTTCTGTGTTCTTTGGACATATCCTGATGAAAGAGATTTAGATCAAAGTTTCTCCTCTCTTCTTTCTCTAAACATCTAGAACATTGCTCTAGATGTTTCCAGGTCTGCACTACAGAGGGAGTTTCTAGATCTGCTAGAGAGCTCTGAGATGCTTTATCCAGAGGAAAGCACATTTACCAACTGCTCTGAGAAGAGGACTAAGAAAGTGAAGTGGTCTTGCCTCCACAGAAATTCTTCTTAAGAATCCAGATCAATTTACATTCTAGCAGCTACCAACAATATGGGGGAGGGCTACACCCTGACAAAGTTAGTCCAAGTTACCTCTGCTGCTTAGAAAATAGTTATGTTATTCAGAAGTCACAGAGTAGTAACACCTGACGTGAAAAACTGTATTTTATGTCTCCAGAAGTGCTTGTAACTTTCAAGCACTTCTGTCCTCATTTTGTTTGCAATGAGGAGACTATTATTGTGCAAGAGTTGATCATGACAGTCCAGCAGTGCCACTGCCCACAATAAAAGCCAATGATGGAGAAACACATGATACTCACTTACTGAAGAGTCATCTAAGATAAGTGGATACACAAGAAATCTAACAGTAAAAGTCAAGCAGTCAAAGCCAACAAAATCACTTCTACCACTCCATAGCATCCACAAAAAATGAGATTATGACTGGCACGTTTAATTTAACTGAAAATGTGTGGTAAGGGACACCTGAGGGGAAAAGATTGCTGGATTTCAGCAATAAGCAGTAAAAGGCACAGCACCATGATGAGGTCTGTGGTTGGTGTGGGGTCACACCTGCAAACGTGCACACCTCTCAGACCAAAAGCATGAGCTGTGCTACTCACTGCCCTGCAAAGGGCACACATGCACAGAGACAATTAACTCCCCTAACTGCCAGCACAAATTAAATCTCACAAAAATACGGTAAATTTCTGGGGTCTAGTTTGCAGTAGAGAATACATGATTTTCAATACTCATCAGCCTGAGACACATGCCAGCTGGAGGTAGAACTGTAACCCGCCAGTCACAAGGCACTGGTCAAGTTTAATCTCTTCAGAAATCACAAAAACCTAACGCTGTCTCCTCCCAAAGAGAGCACCCTCCAGACTAGTGCCATCAGCTGCTCCTACGCTTTTGTCAGATAATGAGGATATTTTCAGTTTGTTTAGGGGCATATTCTTCTCCCATCTCCACGAAGATTTTCTGCTTAATTCCCAGTGTCTAGGAACTGTTCTAATTCTTGCAAGAGTATAAATGACAGCAAGCTGCCGCTGGGAACACAACCTGGACGCAAGTTATTACCAAGTGATCCTCAGTGATTTGATTATTTTAATAAGCATAGCCTTCCATCGCTATAGCCCATTTTAGATTAATGTCTTTGCCACCATCCTCTGTATCAGCAGCTTCCACCCTCCCTCACCCCTCAAAAAAAAAAAAAAAACCAAAACCCAATCCATCTGCCCGCTAAATCAAGGACATAAACCATGAGCAGCTTTGCAAGTGGAAACCAATCATGCACGTAAAGCTCATTTTTTAGAGAAAATTAGGTGATTAATCTTTCTATTCTATTCTATCCTCCACCTAGCTCAACTATTTCATCCTGTCTGCTCAACTATTTCATCCTGTCTGGTTGTGCAACAGCATTTAAAACACACAGCGCTACCTCAGGCGCGGTTCAGGTCAATCATTACACAGCGCAAATGTCACCGTTACCTCTACTGTTCAGTAGCGGGCACTGAGAGCCAGACAGAACCTCTGACATTTACAGGTTTCCAGGAAATTTTCACTCAAACAGGTGGAACGACAGAAATAAACAGCGATGTCTGAAACGGGCCGTCCTCACTACAGAGAAAACCTGGCGGGCGGCCGAGCCCGCTGCGAGGGCCGGAGCACCCGCAAGGGCCCGGCGCGGAGCTCGGCGGCTCCGGGCCCTCACACGGCGGCGGGGTGGGACTGGGGGAAGCGGGACCCCACAGCGCATTCTCCCCTCGCTGACCGCAGCAGGGGCTTTACTGACGAGCGGATCCCACGGCCGCTTCCAGACGCACCGCACGCCGCGGGCCTGGCGGCGGGCAGCCCGCCATCTTGTCCCGGGGGTCCGACGGGGCACGGGGCGCCAGGAGCAGCCGCCCCCCGAGCGGCGCCCCCCGTCCCGTCCTGCCCGGCCGCCGTCCCGGGCCCCTGGCCCTGCCCCGCCCCTCCGCTCAGCTCACACCTCCGCCTCCCGGCCAGCCATACCCCGCACGGTGCAGTTCTGTCCCGGCCCCATCGCTCCTGCTGCCGCTCCGCACTGCGCACGCGCCTGTGCCCAAGATGGCCGCGGGGCCGCCCCTTAAAGGCCGCCCGGCAGCGTGGGGGGCCGGGGCTCCGGTGGAGGTGACGGGGTGTGCAGGAGGGCTCTGGGGGCTGGAGGAGGGAGGAGCGGATCAGCGCTGTCACTCCCCTGACGCCAGGCCCAGGGCTCTCAGGGAGGCCTCTGCAGCTGTAAAATGGGTGTTGGGCGCTGCTGTGCAGATACTGGCTCTTCTTGCTTCTGTTTGTGGTACTGTCAGTGCCCAACAGCTCTGCAAAACTGATCTGCTCAGGGCAGATCGCTGTATGAGCCCTTTCCTGTGTAGTTGTGGAAAAATGAAGCTGAAAAGTGATATCCAGAGTGACAGCCGCCTCGAACCTCATTAACTTGAGTATTGATATGAGAATTACTATACAATAAAGAAGTATTATCCAAGTTCTATACCTGATTAAAGATGCGTTACTCTGGGAGGTCGTTTATGGTTGGACCTGATAGGAAAGATATGTGCTTATATCTTTACAAAATACTTCAATGGGTGAGGGTATGGGTGTTAACGTTGTTGAAATGCGTCTTAATGTCTCTACCAACTTCAAGCCACAGGTCTGTTACAGAACCCAGACAGACTGACTCTGAAACAAATGGGTAGGCACAAGCCTGAGTTTCTGAACTTTGGGGGAAAATTACATATACGAGGGGGGAATATGTGCTAGGCTGTTCGGGAAGGCTGTACCTTCCTAGTACCTCAGCCCATGGGGAAAGGAAGAGGTGGAGCCAGGACTTCAGGGTAAAAGGGGCTGTGTCCTCCAAACCTTGACAGAAAAAGCCCTGCGGGTGTGTGCCCCAGTGGACTCTGCATGATTTTTCTGCACTGACTCGATCTTAGAGGTCTCTTTCAACTTTAATGATTCTATGACCTGTTCAACAGACTTTTCAACCCCCACGCCTACTGCTTCTCTCACACACCATCATGAATGTGACACACCTTTTCCTGTATGCAGTTCTGAAGCTTCACACGGTCACTTTCCTCTTCCTCACCCCCGTACTCACTAGACACTGACACTCGGAGTCCCTCGCTCGGCCCCGCACACCCTGAGGGGCCCGGCCCGGCCGAGACTTCCGCAGCCGCGCGGACTACGCTTCCCGGCGAGCCCCGCGCGCGGCGGCGGCTCCGCATGCGCAGGAGGACACAAAGGGCACGGCCATTGCGTCCCCGCCCCTCCCGCTTCCACGGCGCGCGCTCCCGCCGCCCGCCCCGCCCCGGTCGCGCTCCCGCCCCGCGCTCCCGCCGCCCGCTTCGCGCTTCCGCCGCGCGTTCCCATGGCGCTGAAGCGGATACAAAAAGTGAGTGGGGCCGAGCCGTGGGAGGGGGTGGAAAGGTCTCCCTGCCCGCGGGTGGTAGCCGGGGCTGTCCCCTTGTTGCTGGGGTTGAGGCGGCGGCCGGAGCGGGCTCAGCAGAGGTGTCGTGGCAGCCGCTGCCGCGCGCTTTCTCTGCCAGGACTCGTCCTTGCCTCGCCGGCAGCCGGGGAAGCAGAGTGGGTGTGGGACGGGCAAGGGGGGCTCTCGCCGGCCGCCTCACGGGTTCGGGACTCTGCCTCCTGGAAGGCCCCGCAGCCCCAGTCGGTGCTTTAGGGCGCCGTTCGCGGAGCAGCCGCGGTGCTCCGGGCGGTGCGGGAGCGGGGAAAGCCGCGGTGCTATGGGGAGCCTTCAGCAGGGCGCAGGATCAGCATCGGTCTCTGCCCTTGTGCTCGGCTGCTCCGCGCCGTGCTCCTTAAGAAGTGTTGTCAGCATAGTTCTTGGTGTGACCTTTGAGCGTATCCCAGTTGTGGTGTTTTGGGCTGGTGTGTGTAAATGGCCTGGTTCGAGTTGTGAATTGCCGGTTTCCTTTTGTTTGGCGAGGCTGAGCCGGTCGCTGTACCGTACGGACCGGCTGTCTCACCGGCGGGGAGCGGAGGTTCGTGCTTTGGCCGCGGAACAGAATCCGTCGTGCTTGGTTGCTGTTGCTGTGCCATGTTTAGGGCGGCATCGGAGCTATCCTGGTTACGTGACGGTGCGATTATTTCTCGTGCAGGATTCCCTTTTGCTATTGGAAGCCATTGGTATTGCAGAGATAGGATTCTGTAGTGACCGATTAACCCCACAGTAGACAGATTTGGGATACCCTACGGTAGATACCAACTTTGGATGGATTTCTACCAGAAGCTGCATACTGCTTACCAGTCTCATACTGCAAGGCTTATACCTTTACACACAGTGCAATTGCAGGATAATTTTGTTCCTTCATATCACATGTTTGTCATGAATGTTCCATTCGACCAATATATCAAATTACTACAGTGGTTTTCTTTAGCAATAGCTTTGTCTTGCTTCTACATATTGTACAAATGGTTTGCCTCTTGTTGTCACTTCAATTTCACACATATTCTTCAACATTTCTTTACCCTAGTTTCAAGAAAAGGATTGTTCTGAATACCATCTCTTTGCAATTCTTGTCCACCTTCTTTCTGCTAAGATAGACAAAGGGGAGAGTCGGGTAATCTAGTATTTTTGAGATGTAGTGACGGTTTGGGGCTTTCCAAATAAGTCCTGCTAGAATAAAATTGGCCTTCTTACTTTTATCATGTTCCCTGTGTAACTTTCTTTCTGCTTTAGAGACGTTCATACATATTGGAAAGCCACAATTTTCTTTAATGTGGCATTTAAGAACTTTTGATAGATGTGAAATTATGGTTAGACTTTTTATCTAAGTATCTTTCATTCTGCTAGCCTTATTAAATTGTGTTTCTACTCTTTCAAAACAAAGTGATGCTTTCCAACCTGCTAACTGTGAGGTGCTATGAGATTTCCTGGTTTTACAATAACTTCTGCCTGAAACATGAAGAGATATTGGGTAAGGACCTCCAAAAGAGTTGAGATTAAATTCAGAACTAGTTACCCCTTGCTTCTAGTTTGCTGCAGAAATGACTACTGCTGGCTTTCTTTTTTTTTTCATTAACTACCCTCATCACTCTGTTCTGCCTTTCCAGGAGAAGAAAAAATTCTACTAGAGGGATTTGGCTAGCAGTCTGTCTCTGAAGAAGTAGAAGAGGAAAGGGAATGGCAAGGAAATAAGTTTGTTTCAAATGGAAAGTTAAAATGAAGTGGAGAAGTTTGAAAAGACAAACTGTTTTGATGTAATACATAAAATTTTCCCCAAAAATCATGGAGATGGAAATTTAATGGTAGATGAAATGTATTTGTATGTTGGTATGTTTATCTTGATTACTTTCCTGGCGTTTCAGACTGGCTGTGAAGGTTGATACTTGTGTTGTATTTGTTGTATTTGTGAAGGATAGGAAGGGATAAGATCTGAAGCAGAGGAAATGCTGTGGTTTCAGAGTGCCTAGAGGAATTCTTTGGACAACAAAACACTGTCAGCAAACACAGTGGCATTGCTTGGGAGCTCATCAGTCTAGACATATTGTCTGGAGTTAAACTTCTGTGGGTTTAGGATGCTTCAGAATTGTGCTTAAACGAAGCTAAGGGATTTTGGTGTCAAGCTTGAGTGTTTGTTCACAGTAATTTTGATAATTTGAGCATTCAGTGTGACAACACCTCTGAAGGAAGCAAAGCTATAATATGTCAACCTGTCAGTAAGCATATTTTTTGTCATCCTGGTTGGGACTCTGATTTCTAAGTTATATTGCCCCTGGGATCTGTGTCATTGCATCCTGCCTTTGGCTGACTGTCTTTGAGGGGCTCCTCAAAAGAGAACAGCACGTGGAATTCCAAGACTGTACCCTAGTCACAGAAAAACAGACTGTGCTCAGGAGCTTTCTTAAAAATGGGCAGTGAGTAAGCAGTGAAGAAGCTGCTCACTGCACATGGAGGTATCTGATCCTGGTGCTGCAGGTGGAGGAACAGTGAGGACATGCAGCCCTGCTCTGCAGGCACAGCTGTCAGCAGTGTCCATGACAAACTCAGAGTTCCTCAGAGAGTTTGGAGTTGGAGGATTCTTACTCATCACAAGCTGAGGATCCTGTGTTTGTTTGCCTTGTGAGTGCTTTGCTTCACCATTGTATGAGGGAGGCACTGAGTTTCTACACAGTGTCAAAAAAGTTCAGCTACACTGTCTGTGATGTTCCTTGGGGCAGTGAAAGAGCAACACATCTTTGTGGGCAGTGTAACTTCCAGATGTTGCAAATGATCAAAGCGAAATAAATAGTGTAGGTTTTTTAGTTGAGAAGAAATACTGTGCAAAGAAGCCTTTATCCTTGCCACCTCTGGAAAAGTGAGATACCATGACTTTTGTGAAAGGTGGAAAGTAATTCAGGCTGTCAGGTTCTGTAGGTCTCAGTTCTGCCCATCTGTCTTATGCAGAACCATTTTTCTGGGGTTCCTGTTCCAAATTCTTTGTTCACATATCTAATTTGCAGAGTTTGCCATCCTGGTAGTTCCATATTGCAGCTGAGATTGTTTGCATCATAAGTCCTGTTCCTGTTTTAATCACAAGTCCTGTACCTGGGTGCTCCCCCAGTGTTAGTGGGAGGTTGATGTGCTTGTTAATGCTCAGCTGTCTTGTACATACTTTTGTTCAGGACTTCAACAGATTTTAGAAGACATTTTGAAACCAGGAAGGAGGAGATAGATTTGAACACTGCTTTAAGAATAGCTGTTGTTCTTATCTTATTGATACATAAATGCTTGGTTGGTTTTCTCCGCCAACTCAGTAGGAATAGAAGCATTCAAACATGGAGTGGTTTCAATGAACAATTAAATATGTCTCTGTGGCTCAGTATGTGTTTCATATATGAATGGGCTAACAGGACATACTAACTTAAAGTTATGTTGAAAATAACTTTATTACTGTAAATTGACTCAAATAAAAATTGTTGATATTTGTGGTTTAGGGTTTGACTTTAAACCTGCAGCCTTTAGATGGTAATTGACATAACAAGGAAACTTTTTTGGCTCTAACATAAAATGTTGCATTTACTTTCAAGTCCTCAGCTGAGATACTACATATTTTAGCAATTTTTTTTTTTTGCATTAGAACAATGTATGGAAATAGAATATTTATTACTGACTAACCATTATAGCAATGAATCTTATTATAAATATGTGCTTTATATTTACCAAATTTGTGAAGAACCAGAGAATTCTTTAACTAGTCTTAAATATGATCACTGTGGAGTTTTATGACAAATGGTTCCAAGCAGCAGTGTATGCATAGAATTGGTAGGAAATAAATCTGTGGTCTACAGTGCATTTTGTGCAAGAAATTAAGAACACAACTGACAAATATAAATCTATATTTTAAATAATAGTGTGGAGAAAGGTTGTGGTTTTGTGGTGTATGGAGAAGGAAAATAGCTTTTAGTGATGCTGTCTGCAGTTTATTTTGGTCTTCAGATAATCTGCAGTCTTTTTTTCTGAATTTTTTTTAGACAGAAAAAAGACATGTTTAGGACTTCTATGCTGAGAACATTCATTTCCTTATCACCAAAGTATCTTTTACAATGTTGTTCCAATAGCTTTTTGTGAGAAAAGCCTGGATGCTAATCAAGCATTTAAGTGTTAAATTGGCCTTGCAGTCTTCAACTTCATACTTTTATGAAATACATCCTGTGTTATTCATTGACCATGGGCATTAGTCTGCACATTCAGAAATGTCTCCAACATTTATAGCTTACCACAGCTTGTTTTTTACAGCTGTTAAACTTGAATTTTTCCTTCATGCTGTCTACAGGGCTATTCAGGAGTGTAGTTGTAAGGGAAGATAATTTGGAGGCTCCACTAGTATGTTAACCATTAGTATTCTATTCTACCCTGAAATGTTTTGTATGAGAGGATTAGAGGATTTATTCCTACACTGTCCCCAGCTGAGGTATTTTTCTCTGTGCACATTTATCCTGGCATGTGTTGGAGCCCTTGAGAGGCGCTTTCATGCTGTCACATTCCGCAGTGTTTGAAATAACCCATCCTTCTGATGCATCTCTTGCAGACAGAATCTTGGGTTTGTGTATTCTCATTGTTGCAGTGTGTTATAATAGCCTCTTTTAAACTTCCGGGCCCTTCCCCAGGTGTGCCAATACCCCCCTCTCCCTTCCCCCTTGCCCCCATGCTGAGTGAGTCCTGTCAATCAGGCTTAACATTCCAGCAAGGCGTCGTGTGGTTGGTCAAGTTCAAAAGATGCCCCTATGCCCAGGGGTCATTGGCCTGTCTAGGTGTCATCCCCCCCTGAGACCCTGCCCCTCTCACCTGGTTGGTGGCTCACCTGTCCCCTCCCCTCCCCCTGCCCCGGGAGCTTAAAAAGGTGATCAGGCCATGCAGTCATTATTCTGTTGGAGCAGTTGCCCACGTTCAGACCTCTGTAACCTTGGAATAAACCTCTGGACATTAAACCCCCCAGCAGAATCTATCTCCTTTTTCTCTTCACCATCGCCTGAAGCTTTCATCCTGAGGTAAACGGCGTTCCGGACAAGCCTGGACTTGTTCAGTGCCCAGCTGCAATCTCCAGCAAGCCAAGGTATCTCTGGGGTGATTACACCGCAGTTGCTGCCTTTGGCCCAGCAGCGAGGGTCAGACTGGCCCAGGCACAATATAACTGGTAATATTGGGATTCATATTCCAATACTCATGAAAGATGTTGCACCAGTGTACACTGTAATTTATAGTGGTGACTTTCTCTTTTGAAAATGAATCTGCTTTGAGCTATAGATCCTGTTTGTCAGCATATGTGCATCTTACACCAGCACTTTCTATACCAGTGACTAAAAGTATTCGTGCAGACCCTTGAAGTGACCAGACCTGCCTCATGCAGCTGCATGGTAATAATCCATAAAGCTTGGACAAAGCTGCTTAACTTAATTTTAACTTTAAACTACAGGGCAATCTCTGGTGTTGACTGTAGTGCCTCACTTTTGCTTCTTGATGAGGTTTCAGCATGTTAAACTTTGAGAATCTTCAGCCTTGTCCCTTAACAAAGCCAAGGTTTGGCCTTCTTCTAAAGAGCATCTGTGCTTTGTATAAAGAATTATTGTATTCTCATTCTTTCATGAATATTTACAGTCATGAAGAAATTTTTCTACATGTATTTAGAGGATCCTCATTTCTGTTCTGCAGTGTTCAATTCTGGGCCCTGGCGGGTCAGTCTGATTCAGGGACATCTGAGTATCTCCTTGCCCCATTTCTAAAGGTGTGGGAAAGCTTGAACCTAAATCTTAGAGCTCTCCAGATAATTTTGCTTTGAACCTAAAGCTTAAACAGCCTAATCAACAATGTAAATCTGAATAGTTCTTCCTTTTTATCACAGCTTGATCTGAATTTCTGTATATAAAGATTCAAACTGTTCATACTGTTGGATCATGTTACCACTTGTATTTTTAAACCACACTAGCTTCACATATGGATGCTAAATGCAGCTTGAATTTGCTCTACTGATTTTGAAGTTTGCTTCACATACGGATGCAAAATGCAGCTTGAATTTGCTCTACTGATTTTGAGGTTTGATCTGGCTTTATGTTTTGTAAGTGCAGAAGCTCTCAGAATGTATTTGTGAACATTGCTCTCATTTGCTGAAGTTGATTGAAGAGAACCTTTTCCTCATTGTTGTTAGGAAATATTAATTACAAGAGTTTATAGTTGTGGATCTTATCAATGTATGATGAAAAATATTTGCTGTTTTTTTCTAATCATGAACAGATGTCAGTGCCTTTTTGCCTGAACAAATTGAAGTGTATACCCAAGGAGCATTCCCCAGTTCTGTTAATTCTTAAGTACATGTGTATATATGAAAGAAAACAAATTTGTGTGGTTTGAGGGTATGTAAAGATCTTGGTGAACACATGTAGCAACAAAAGCACTGTTACAGACCTGTGACTCTGAGTGGTTGCCTGGTAGTTCCTATATGCATATGGAATGTTTGCATATACTTCAGAGACTTTCTGAAAAGTTTAAGCTACATATTTTTCCAGTTACTGCCTTGAATTTAGTAGTTAATAAAGACTGTTGCAAAATGCATGATTGCTAGTGTGAGTTCTCTGTTTTGGTGCTATAGTGCAGCTGTTTGGTTTTGGTTGGGTTGTTTTAGTGTGTGTGTACAGACTTCATTTTCTCCTGTTAGGTTAGATCTTGAGTTGCAAGTTGGAGGAGACAGTGCCTGTACCAGCTCTGCTGCTGGTCATGTTTGGGGACTGCTGGAAATTTGAGATTTGTTGACTCCCTGTGTGTACTGGCAGTGCCTTTGTATAAATAGCTGGTTCTCTGAATCACTCCTTAACGAAATCTGAATCCTCTGATTAAAATAGGAACTGCATTTCTAAAGTGCCTTTATTAGTTAAAGTCTAGCCCAGAGTGTTCTTTCTGGATCAGCATTCAGTGTCACCAACAGAATAAAGTTAAAGTGCAGTAATGTCAGTTGCTATTTCAGCATAGGAAAAAGTGTCTTCTTGTTTGAAATCACAACGTTGTGAGAAGTCACTTCAGAGGAGTAGTAGGAAATGGTGCAGTGCTTTTCTTTGATTTCAGGGCCAAGAGTGGAGCTGTAGGTCTGGCTGAATTTAGGTGTCCATGGTAAATTGAGTTGAAATATTTACTTGATGTCATAAGTGGAAAAATATTTCACAACAGTTGAGAAGTGCAGATTTTTAACCCTTCAAATTATATGTAAGGCCTGATCACACTAAGTACACCAATTCTACACTTGAGTTAAACTTAGCTCTTATTTAAACCTTCATTTTGTAAGTAGTTGCCTTGACTAATTTATTTTGAGTAGAAACATTTCTGGTGTTACTCCTTAAGGTAAACTCACAGACCTGCTTATGTCTATTGTTGACTTAAATGTGTGTTTTGAGTAAGGAATTGAGTTACTTACAAACACACACCCTTTAACTTATTTCAAAGGAAGTACTTGCATGTAGTCATTAAAGTTCCTATAGCACAGTTTCTATCAGCCTAGAATTGGAAAAAGCTTTTCTTAGTACAGTGATAGTTCAGACATCAGAAGGAGTATATTGAATTAAATGAGGAAAATGAACTAACATTACTGCCTGTCTTTTTTAAAATAGTGATGATAAATCAGATAAAAAACAGTGCTGGCTTTGTGAAATCACATAATTTTAAATTATTTGGGACTGTGTGGACTCCAGTAAGAGAAATAAATCAGTTGACCACCAAAAGCTCCTATGGGTGCTTAAGTTTCAACTTGGGAGCTTTTTAGTGTCATTTAAAAAAAAAAAAAAAAGCAAGCATGCAGGGAATTGAATCAAGGTAAATAAGGTGTAGAGATAATATTTTTTTCTTTAGTTTCCAGTTTAGTTAGAACCCTTTATATTATGTTCATACATCATCTCCAGGCAGGCTGCAAGCATTTTATGAGCCAGTTTAGCTCAGCTGATGTCCGCAGACTAGGACAATACCGAAACTTTTGTAAAATCAAAAGGTAAGGGAATGATCAGATTAGCACCTAACTAAATTAAACTGTGAGTTTACAGACTAATCAAGAAACCTTTCTTCTTTATTTTATCTCCTTCAAGGATATTGAACTTCCTGTGAACTTGGTTGAAACTCTTAAATTCTTTCAGATATTAATTTCTAGCACAGTGTTAGCTGCAGGCCATCTGGCAAAAAAGCTTTTTCAGTTTCAATGGACATTTCAAGTTTTGACTGTTTTATCAAAATACCACAAAAAATGCTCATGGATTTAATAAAATTGGTTTGTGTTCCCACTTTTGAAGGGATACTGCCAAGTGGTATGAATTTTCATGTCTTTGAAATATTTCTGTGTTTCTTGCAGGAGCTAAGTGATCTGCAGCGAGATCCCCCAGCCCACTGTTCTGCTGGCCCTGTTGGAGATGACTGTAAGCTCTTCCTAGAACATCCAGTACATTTCAGTTCTGGAAAGGCTCAGAAAATCTCTAATTATTGTATCTTTTTTTGCCTTTCAGTGTTTCACTGGCAAGCAACTATTATGGGACCTGTAAGTATGGGAATCATGCCCCTTAAAATCTAAGACCTTGCTTCTCTTTTTGCTACAGAAGGATTCATTTGGGTTTCTGTGAACACAGCAGCCACATTCAGCTGGGCTGTGAATAGTTAAAACTTTAGGGTGACATTGGTGTTCTTATTTGTCTGGTAGCAGCTGCTTTCTGTAATTCCTCAAAAATCCCTCTTCTTCATGGAGTTAGAGGTGTTTAATTAGCCAGCTGTGGTGTCTGAGTTGGTGATATGGGCTACAAAACAAAGAGCTTGCTTTTCATAGATGATCAACCTGGAAGATTCATCCATCTGAGAGGAGGAAGAGTGGGTGAAATCTAATATTGCAGTTGCTAACTGTAAACAAGAGTGGAGTTGCAGAGGGCTTTTAGATGGAGCTTATTTTATTTGATAGTGTACAACCTGGATGTAAACCTGTGCACATGGTGTCTAACAAAATGAATGTGCACAGATTTGTGCAGGTCACAAAGATGTTGTGTGTTTTAAAACTCCCTGATATCATCATGATGAAGTGAATTCTATTGGAAAATCCCACTCTTTGCATCTGCAAAGAGAAACCACTTGTTAGGGTAAGTGTGTTTGTAGCTGAAAAATGGAGGAAGATCAGAGCAGCTGTGGTCTTGCACAGAGACAGGGTTTGGAGGACCTGCTCTGTTTCTGTGCTCCCTTCAGTGCAGCAAAGCCATGGAGCTCCCTCTCTTTGCTCCCCACAAGGGCAGTGCTCTGTAATTGTGCTGTGCTGCTGCAGTAGAAGCCACACTTGGGAGGGTTCAGTTCCCTCTGTGTCTTCCCAGTTTGTGGCCCATAGTGGGCTATGTACTGGGGAAAAATGGATTTTCTTTAGGAGAAGGGAAGCTCCAAAACAACTGAAATATATTAATCTGTTTTTTCTGTTTTGTTTTTTCCTTAGCCTGATAGTGCATATCAAGGGGGAGTATTTTTTCTCACAGTACACTTTCCAACAGATTATCCTTTCAAACCACCAAAGGTAAGTCCTTTCTTTTAAGGAAAGAAAGTTTTTAGCTCAAAGTTTATTCTTTGAGGCTTAATTTTGGAAGTTAAACCAGAAAGGTGAGCCATAGTATACATGTTCTTAATGGAAGCAGATAAGACTGTAAAAAAATTGTGTTGGCAGATCTGATACAACTAGAATGGAAGGATGATGTTAAGGATTCCAAATGTAATAACCCTAATCTGATGCTATTTGGTTTTTATTTATTTTTTTATTACAGATTGCTTTTACAACAAAAATATATCACCCAAACATAAACAGTAATGGGAGTATTTGTCTTGATATCTTGAGATCACAATGGTCACCAGCTCTGACTGTTTCTAAAGGTAAACTCAGTGATTTAATGCATGTGTGAAGCTGCATACATTGCCATGGCACTTTTTTGTGTATTACTGCACTGTCTTAAAGGTAAACAGTGGGAACAAACTTATCCTGCATGTTTCAGAAGAGGCAAATTCCATTGGAGTTCTTGTTATGATCCAAGATCTTGTGCAGTTTATTGGGAGTTCGTTACAAAAAAATGCATGCACAAAGAAATATTCTAAACCAATTTGGGTAGGATAATAATGTACATTTAGCCTGAAATGTGATAGCTGACTGTGCATGCTGAATGGAGGAGAAACTGATAAGCAGGGCTTGAAAATCACAACTTGGGAGTAAATGTGAAACCCTGATACTGAGGTTGTGTGAGCTTACATGATTGCCTGTTGATGACTCTTCAGGCTATCTGAGCATCCTTGTGTGGACTAAGGTCTTAATTACACTTTTTTTAAAAATGAGATCATTTGTTCTGGTTTGCATTCCTTTGTAAGATGAATATTTCAAGATGTAGCTCCTTTCACAGTCATCAGTAAAAGTTTTATTAAAATATTCTCTCCTGTAGTTAAGCTTTCTCAAAACTTGCACCCTGTAGATTTCTGGAACACTGAGTTAACAGTTTAGCAGTTGTTTTGCTGCAGGCATTTTGTGTCACTTAAAAAGCTGCTTAAAATGTGGGTGCTGTTATTTCTTCTCACCCATCTTCAAATTGCTAAGGTACACTTAGTCATATTACAGAAATCCCTCATGTGACTCAAAAGGTCAAGAAGCCATATCACATCTCCTGTGCTTGGGAGCTCTCTGAGCTGTGTGCCAGTGTCACTGCACTGGGTGTACAAGCACAGAACAAACTGTGGGGCTTTGTCCAATGGAAATTGCCCTGTGCAGGTCCAGCTGCTGCACCTCCTTGGAAAAACAACTTCTCTTGTTTACAGGCCTGTGCAGTAACCTCACAAGCCATATGTAATCTAAGTCTAATATACTGTTTCCTCAGCTGATTGCTAAAGACATCAATTACTCTTGTTTGTAATTGGTATCATTTTTTTCCACATAAATTAGTTGTTTTATAGCTATGCAAAAATTGTCTTGCTTCTAGCTATTAAGCAAATGAAAATTGGCACTTAGGTTTAACAGCTGGCATCTACAACTGAAAACCTGTAAAATTTTTAGATCTTCAGCATTTTCCTATCTCTTTACTTGCTGAGCACTTCTTTGGTAATTAAGTGGAGCAGGTCTCATGTTCAGATATTATGTATTTCATAAACTGGAAATTAGCTCAGTGATTCATGGAAGTTTCTCCTTTCTAGTTTTTGTTTGACTGAATCAAAAGTTTACAGCGTACTATAGCACCTCTGACCATCTGTGTGACCATGTATTCTAACCTGGTTTCCTGATATTACTGGTACTTAAAATAAGTCAGTATTGAAGTGGCTGAACTTTCTTCTCCTGAAAATAGGTGTGGGCTCTTGGGTAACAAGATAAAACAGGGAGGAAAAAAGGTATTCTACAGTTGATTCTTACGGCAGCATGAAGTTCCCTTTCACAACATATTTAGAATTATTTAACTGTGTACTCTTGTATGCATATTAGTTCTGACCATAAAACCAGAAATTGCCTGAAAAGTATGGCCTGAAAATGTTAGGCAAAAATATCAAACCTCCTTGGTTTAATACCAGGAAATTAATATGAAATTAGAAGTGAATACCTGTATTTAATGCTGATCAAGTATTTCCCAAAATGGAAGTCACACTTAGGTAAAGTGTTCTTATGACAGAGAGAATAACTGTCAGCACAGAAGTGAAAAAGGATATGCACAAACAGTACTGCATGGCATTGTAATATTAATAATTAGTTACCTTAGCTGCAGGTGGAAAGCTTAGTGTTGAGCAATATCTACATGTAACTGTAGTCTGTAGTTGGGTTCCTAGGCTAGGATGTTGGAGAGAGATCATTCAAAAGGCGCAGGTTCATGGCTGCAAATTCCCTGGGCTTGTATCAGGTGTTTATTTAAGCCCTAGAAAAAATGATGCTGTATAAACATTTCTGGACAGAGCTGTTAAATGACAGCTTGATACTAATATGCATTCTTTTTCCTATACCCTCCTACCACCTCCTTCAGTATACTGGAATATGTTAAAGAATTGTAGAAATAAAGCAAACTAACTTTTTTAATCTAGTGTCTCTTTTATTTAGTTTTATTGTCCATATGCTCCTTACTTTGTGATCCTAATCCAGATGATCCTTTAGTACCAGATATTGCACAGATCTACAAGTCAGACAAGGAAAAGTGAGTATAACATACATAACTGTGTGTGTGGTACTTGCAAAGGCTGGCTGCTGTGCACCTTCAGTGTTAACTTTAGCAATACTCTCTTCCTAGATTTCTACAGGATTAGCTCTTTAAATATTGGGAATAGCCATGGCAAGTAGAAAACTGTAGGCATACACAGCTGTTGGGAACTATTTTTTTTTGTACTTAATTACATAAAACCTTCATGCTTTTGTGTAACAGATTGATTGCATGAAAAATTACTTTCCCAAATATGAGTTGTCACTACTGCAATCCTCTGGTTGTAAAACCTGTACAGAAGAATTTTTGACCTTCTGTTTAACTGACTGAGTTATTTGGTACCTATTTTCCAGTGTTGAGCCGTTGCAGACTTCCTGCAGTGCATGCAGAGTCACAGATTCAGGCAGATCTGAGTATTGCTTTTACCTTGAGCAGTAGACAGCAAAGGAGTGAAGCAGAAGTTGCATGGACATCTGTGCTCTAGTACTTCTCTGCCCAGACTAAGAATGATTAAAATGGCCTTTTTCTCTCAGTTCAATGTCTGGAATAGTCAAATCATGTAACTTCTGAAGTGCCTGACTGCTGTAGCTCATTCTGCAAAGGAGATAGTGTTCTGGTTGAGGAGATTGTGCATCAGCTTCTCCCCATTTGTGGCTCAACTTTTTTTCCACCTGCTTATTAGTGATTTCTGTTGTGCCTCCTGTTTGTGAAGGAAGTGAATGAGGGATGGTTTTCCATCTCCAAATCTCAAAATTTAATCATTGCTAGGGAAAGTGAGAAAATACAGAGTCTTAACTGTAGCTTTATCTTCTTATAATGAAGAAATTTTTTTTTTTGTTATACCTTAGATTTAGGAAATGAAAGATACAGCTGGTTACCCCTGAGCATTTATCTATGAGTATTTTATTATAAGTTAAAATCCAAAGACTTATATGGTAGCATATTCTTAAGAAGAACACCAGTTAGTAAATGGGTTGCTATACTGATCTTAAGAGTTAAAAACTTGTCAGTATTTTTCGCTGGTTGACTCAAGAAAGTGAATCCAGTCTGAAGAGTAGAATGTAGCAAATGTAAAGACCAGAGTGGAAGCTATCAACTCTCTAAGGGCATTTACCCTTGGGATTATGGAATTATAAGATAATCAGCTTGGGAAAAGACCCAAGACTTAAAACCTAGCAAAAAATGCTTTTCAGAAAACTTTCTTTTCAAGTTCTGAAATGCAGCTGGCAGTGCAGAACGGAGAATAAAATCCCAGTTAATTATACTGAATTTTGTGGAAATAAAATGTGTAAACTTTGTCAGACTCTTAATAGCATATACCTTTAGGAGTAATTGACAACCAGTTCCTGTTAAGGTGCAAATAAGGGAACCAGTTATGAAATACAAATGAAGGATGCACAATTTAGTGCAAAGCTGTGAAGTTGAGTTTGAGTCTGACAGCTCTGGTGCATAACTTTAGAAACTGAATGTGTAGTGGGTGTGTGCTTTGTGGCTTTTAGACTGTTTTAGTGTTCTTTGACTGCTCAGAGGTGCAAAGCTCAGTACCAGCTGTATTTAGTAAGTGCATGGCCATTGTCAGTGTATCACTAACAGCTCTTCACTGTAATGCCTTCTTTCTGCACGTACAGATACAACAGACATGCAAGAGAATGGACTCAGAAATATGCAATGTAAACTTTTGAAGACATTTTCATATACCACAGAGTACTGTAAATTCTAGTTTTTTTCAAAATTAGAAGGAAATGGAGCACAGTTTATGGTTTCAATGTGACACTCCTTGAATTTTTTTTCACCCAAGTAAGTGTGTTTCTGGAGCAAGAGAGAACAAACTTCCAAAAATAACCTTATGACTTTGGTAAGAATATTTATCCTCTTTGTATGCTTTGCAGAAGACATTTATTATAGTTTTTAAGAGTTGGACACCTGCATCTTCAGACTACAAGATCTATAATTCAGTTGTAAATCAATGAAATTATTTTTTGCTGGAAAAAGTAGCTGTTTTCATGTGATGAATACTGTATGTGTGTCATTGAAGTATGTTGTCTGTTTCATAAGTGTGTTCAAGTTTCTTTTTGTTAGTTCTCTTATATAATTTGTATTTTTTTACTGTATAGACTATTTTATTTACAATGTAAGTCATTTCAGTTTAGACTTGCTTGTGCACAGTATTGACAAGATACAACTGCTAATAGTGAAAATAATTGGAGTATCTCACCCATTAAATATTCTGAAGACTGACTGCAGACTTCTTAAAACCTACAATGATCTTTGCACTGTAAATCTTTGTATGCTGATTATGGAGAAACACCTGGTTTTGATTCTGTTGCATACTTGACTTAATTTTATTGCAATGTGAACTAATTGCACTGGTATGTAGAAAGATATGTAACTATTTTGTTGCTATTCACAACTGATTTGTGACGTGTGGGCAACATAATACTACCACAGACCTTTTACAAATCCAGATGTAGCCTTTTCCATATAAATAAAATACATTTTCTACTTTCCTTGGCTCTATTTTTTTTTTTTCTTAACTCATGCATATCCTTAAAGTTCCACCATTCTAACAGAGAACTGCCAGTAGTGTTTATGTGTCTTGTAGGCAGAATGTCCATAAAGCCTTGCATCATGTACCAATCAGAACTGGGCTCTGAGTTAATTTTGATGCTAGTTCTAGCCTAGTGGATTTAGCCCATGGTTGGATAGAGGATTTCAAAGAGATTCATGCCATGCCACACCAATATTCACCAATGGAGGAGATAATCACAAGGGTCTGTTAAGGGTGGTGTATTTGCAATATCAGAATATTACAGTAAACTCACACTTGAAAGTAACTTTTCCATTAACTTGCACTTCAGTTGCTTCATACAATGCATGTGGAAAACCAATAGTGCTGAGAGGGGCAACCTGTTCTTAAAACATAGATCAAAAGCAGAAAAATTTCTGGTTTCCTACCTTTCATTCTTCTTGGTTACTTGAAAATTAAAAAAAAAGATGACAAAATGTTTTTCTCTGTATCTTGTACATGAAAGAGAAATTACTTTCAGTTGGGAAATTTGTCATCATAAAACATATTTTTTAACACGACAGATGATTTGGGTTTTTTTATTGTTGTTTTTTATTTGAATATGCATCAACTGGAATGTGGGGTATGGGTGGCAAGCATGCACAGTAGGAGCTTTTATTCCTACCAGTGAAATATTAACTTTGTGTTTCCTGATTTACTCACCTTAGGTTGGTCACACATGGAAAAATGTCATTTCTGTGCTAGTTTTATCTGTGATGTAATGGTGACATTTGAAACAGCAGCTTGATTGAGATTGGTTCCAATCATCTTAAAATATCCCTGTTTTGCAAGCTGAATAAATGGATTTGGTTTTGTTACTGAGTGCTTCATTATATTTGAACTAAGGTAATGGAGCTAGGAAGGCAAAGACATCATTTATACTTCTTGCTCAAATGATTGTAGAAAACTGACCATCAGAATGTGTTCAGTTTTTATTTTTTCTAGGTAAAATAGCAATCTCTTTGTACTAGAAGTTATGTACATTTTTGGAGTATCTGTACAGAACTGTGTGAAATCAGAAGTTTGACTTGGTTTATCAGTTTGTGTTAGGGATGGTTTGAAAACATTTCTACTTTACCTGGTGATGTTTCTGCTTTGTGCTGTGCATTAGTGACTTTGCACCACAGTATGAAACCAGCAGGAGGACTGAAAACCAACCAACACCCATGTATAGGACATATTAACCATATGTAAATATTAAAAAAGGGATTTGTCTTATGATCATGCTGCTTTAGAGGTGTGAAGCTAAGTCTTTCTTATACTACTCCTAGCAGTTCAGCCTTTCTCCTTTTGAAATTATCAGAATGAAATGATAAATACATTCCTTAAAACTTCAGTCATGCTATGAAGTGGCCGGGTTCAATCTGTGGAGGGAAACACTTCCACTCCTCGGTTAATGCTTTTGATACAAATTCTGTTTCCAGGGCTGGGAAGTTTACTTTATTCTGTGCTGTTTACTACGATGAGAAAAGGAAGGGGGGGGGGGCGGGAAGAACTGGTCGGAGCAGAGGCTGCTGCTGTTTCAGACATAGCAGCTCGCCATAGCGAAGGAACCAGTGGGGTTTGTTTTGGCCCCAGCTCATGAACAGAACGAGTTACTTGGTTCCCAGTTTGTTTCTGATCTCCATTACCGTTCTGCTGTAGCTGCTCCTGTGGGCGCCCACAGCGAACCCGCCGCCCTCGGTGCGGAACCTTCGGGGCCGCGGGGTCACCTCGAGTCGATGTCACCTCGCGGCGGTGTCACCTCGTGGAGGGGTCACCTTGTGCCGGCGTCACCCCGTGCCGGCGTCACCGTGTGGGGGCCGCCCCGGCCCCGCCCCTCACGCCGCCGTCCCAGGGTGCCGCGCGCTGGCGCGCATGCGCAGTGGGCCGGCATGGCGGCGGCAGCGGCCTTGCTAGGCCGGGCCGCGGGCCTGGGCCTGAGTCTGGTGACGGCCGCGGGCGGGCGGCGGCTCCTCCGCTGCGGGGCGGGAGCGGCGCTGCGAGAGCGAGGCACCGGCACCCTCCTCGGCGCTGCCGTCCTGTGCCGGCCCGGTGGCGCGGCGGAGCGCTGCCTGTCGCGGGGGACCAGCTCGAATCCGCGCCCGAAGCGGCCGCTCACCGCCTATTTTCGTTTCGTGATGGACAACCGGCCGGCCTTCAAGCAAAAAAACCCAGGTACGAGAATGGAGGGGCGGCAGGTCCGCGCTTGGCGCTGGTGGGAGCCGGGGCTCCGCTACCGTCGCCCCCGAGCGGGTGAGCCGGAGCAGCCCGAGCAGCTTTAGCCCGTCCCCAAAGTTGTTATTTCTTTGCAAACCCGAGCTTTGGGAGCGAGCTGAAGTGCTGATCTCAGACACCCCGCCCGTGTGTTTATCCGTGCCACTCCTCGGGTCAACCCAACACGGTCATGCTCCTTGCCTGCGCGTACTTCATAAGTCAAAATAATCAACATGAGTATGTAACTTTAATAATGCTCTGTGAAATATTTCGCCTAGGTAATACATTGTAACAATGATTTATGATTCTCAGTTATTTTTGGATTCTATGCATTTGAAGTACATTTTTGATGATATTGTGAGCCCTGTGTGTGATTTTATTTTGAGGCTTAGTAATTGAAAAATTGTAGGTACTGGATTGCATCACTGTATATAGAAGTAAAGGTATTTAGAGGAAAATGGTTTCGTGTGAATATGTTTGATGTACCATCAAAAACTTCCCTTATTAACAATGCAGTGGCACTTGCCAGACAGCTTCAGAATAGAAAGATAAGCTGGTTTTGAAATACTGTTGAAAGTTAAAATGTTTAAAGAACTATGGTCATATTGGGGGAATCCTGAGGAAGATTTAAGTAAGGAAAACCATTTTATGCCCTATTTAGCTCACCAGTTCAAGAGTTCACACTCTCATATAGAACTGGAAATTTTACTTTTGGTTTCTTCCCTGCTCCAACCTCCAAATTCAGACCGTCTTGCATTGTACAGAAAAGTATCCAGCTGAAAAGGCAAAAAATGTGAAATTGTTGTAGCGGAACAATAGCTGCCTTGAAATGGTGCTTCAGTTTATTACTGCATGTTCTGTTCCAGGTGAGCAGTGGCTCTTTCCCATCCCCCAAATATTGCAGTGCCCTTTAACTGCCACAGTGAGTTAGTTTTATGAAAGATAAAATGCATTTGTACAGGAAAATGATACCTGTGACAGCTTTCCTTGGGAAAAGTTGAAGGAGCTTACTAAAGATACAATGTTGATCTTGATTTCTGGGCTTTCTCTTTTAACCTACAGAGGCCAGCAACACAGAACTGGTTAAAAAATTGGCAAGTGCATGGAAGGAGTTACCAGCATCACAGAAACAGGTAAGGTTCTATTTCCCTGAGAACTTTGAACTCTATAGGTGGTGGGGTTTTATTTGTTTGGCGTCTTGTGGTTTTTTTATTCAGTCTGGTGGGGTTGGTTGGTTGGTTTGTTTTTAAGGAGCTTGAAAAAGCACCTGTGTACAAAGGTCCACTGTCCCTGGTGGCCAATAGCAGGTGCCACTTGGAGCTGGCTGGCCTTGGCTCCATCAGGCTCCTCACAGGAGCCATCCCTGTGCCCCCCTGGCCACCAGAATCTGGCCATGCAAACACAATACTGGAGGATACTTTGCTGCTTGTACATGACCTTGGCTTTAAAAGTTTGAATATGTTGCCAGAGAAATGACACAGCTCTCACTCCATGTGGCTGTGGCCTGCAAACCAATTCTTTCTCCTTTTTGAATGGCAATATTGTATGACATGTACAGTGCAAGTTTTGTAAAGTTGTTCTGATCTTATGTATATGGCAGGTGAAACCTCACTTACTTCTGATGAAAGGACCAAACTTCTTTTGCTTCTTGTAAATTTCTTTAAGAAATTAAGTCATAAGTAGTGAAGTTTCTCTGAGTGGCAGTTTCAAGGGATAATGTAAATCAACTCTGGGACTTGCTGCTGGATTTAAATGCCATTTGTAGCAAAGTAATGATTGTTCTTCCTTGACTGCAGTTAGCAGTCAGGAACTAAATTCCATTTCCTAAAGGAGATATTTAGTAGACCTGAGGTGCTCCCACATCCCTTTTGGACTTCTCACTCTGTGTACTTTTTCCTTCTCTGAAATGTGGGACAGGGAATCAAACATGAAAATCTGATGTTCTGGTGTAAATTTTTCAGTCTGTAATTTTTCTTCTAATAGGTTGGAAGTGTTAGCCTTGTCTAATAATTAGGTGCTTCTGACTGAAAGCATCTAGCTGAAGTTTAAGGCTGCTGTGGTTTGTGCTGCAGGTTTATGAGGAAGCAAGGAAGACAGACTGGAAGAGATATGGGGAGCAGCTGGCTGCTTACAAAGCACAACTGACCCCAGCCCAGGCTGTGGCTCTGAAAGAGGAAAGGAGAAAACAGCTGGCAAGGAGAAGATCAATCAGGGCAAAAAGAGTAAGTATTTTGAAGTTCAGCTTTCTTTTCTCTCAAGGAGTCTGAACTCTGTTTGTCTAGTACACAAAGCAGAGTTGAAGCATGTTTTAGAAATACAAAAGCAACTCAGAATAGAAAAAAAGACACAATATATACAAACCCCTCCAAAATGCCATGGACTAAAATAATTACTGGTGTCAGCAGCTAGTTTAGTGGCTTTGCCATGCT